CAGAAAATCAGATTAACACAATCTGATTGGGTCACCTGTTTGTTGTTATGGTCCCACAACAGGTACAATATAATCATATCCATATAGATAGATAGATAGATAGATAGATAGATAGATAGATAGATAGATAGATAGATAGATAGATAGATAGATAGATAGATAGATATTTGCAGCCCTAACGACTGAGCAACAATCAAGTTTTTCTACAGTCTCTACAGTTCTCTTTGCTAACTATTGCAACTTCCGAAAGCCTCAGGTGGGATATGGCGTGACGGCCTCAGTTGTACTACAGGGAGCTGCTGTCTGATCATAAGTAGGTCACCTCAGCCCCCTTTCATTCCCCCCAAAAAGAAGGGAATCAGCACAGAAGCGGAGTAAATGGCTTGAAACCTGTCTGATACAGGCTGATAAACTTGGTGACAGTTGGGCTGACTGATGGACTGGCTGGCTCGTTGACCGGCTGGCTGACTGACTGACTGATGGATTGACTGACTAGCAGGTTTCCTCCACTGGCTCAGTGCCGGGGAGGCAGGCTGACTCAAGGCTGTGGACACTCCATCATGGGGAACTCAGCTCCTTTTCCACTGACGGTGGCTCGGTGTAATCTGCGGGCCTGTGGTGACAATCAAAACGGAGCCCCAGCATGCTGCACTCCATCACTGAATCGTACAACTACATTCATGAAAGCAAATGATCTGATCCAGACAGGGAGCGAAGCCGACGAAGGTGAGGCTCACGCAAAAGAGGTGTCTTGTTTATTTTTTCTGACTCGTATTTTAAACTTGGGACCTTTTTTTTTTTTCTCCAGCATTACCTCCACTAAATTATTTACCTCCCTTGGCGATCTCATAATCACTGATGCCCTGAAATGACACAAACTGGAGGAGGAGGGGGATGAGAGTCTGTGGTTATTGTAACTCTTGCAACTTTTGTCAATACTGTTGCATCAGCATGTAAGCAACCCCTTACATTTGTAGCTGGTCAAGATGTAGCCTTTGCCTGTTTTACCTACTTTATATACAGTTAAGTAGCTTTACTGACTCCTCCAAAAGGTCACAGCTAAGAGGCTGTGAGATGATTACTGGGAGAGGAAAGGGGGAAAAAAAATCTGCCAAAGGAATCTGGAACTACCCATTGGTCTTTTTATTGTAAACTCAGAACACTGTGTATCTTTTGGCCTTAATAAAACCATCTGAGAAGTTTGGTGATCACTGTTTTTTGTTGTTGTTGCAAGGAGCACATTAAAAATGGGACCCACAAAAAATACAGTTAGACAACAACCCCTTTGTCTTTCTTCCTCTCACTTGATTTTGAAATTCTGTCTCTCCGTTCACCCAACAGGTGCTTCCTCTCACTTTTGTAGCATCAAGTCATCTGAGGACATCTACTCCAGGCTGCAGTGGATTCTCAGCGCTGCCACTTAAAAACAAGCTGCATATTCACTTAACAAACCTCACAAACTCTGTGATGTACAGAGTGAAAATAAAGACTCATTTTTTCTCTCTCTCTCTCGTCTCTGTCTGGCACAATTTCTCTCTTTTGTCACATAAATATAAACACACTTGCATGCAGTAAGCTACACACACACACACACCACCCACACAAGTGATAGATTTGCCCCTCCGCAGCTTTACAACAACTGCTTTGGCATTTTGGCAAACAGCCTTTGTTTACTGAGCCTGTCGATGGGCTATGTAATCGTATATTTCCACTGAGAGTGTCTGTTAGCAAGGACGCTAATTAGCAAACGATTAAGCTCTCACACAAAAGAGGTTCTTGAGATTAATTGGTGCTGAAGTTTACAAAAGCTTGTGGCTCAGTAAATAATTTAGCATGAACAATTGTACACCTTGTCACACTGTGTTTTGGTTTTCAGATGAGTAATTGCTGGTGTCACAACTAAGAATATATCAGTGTTCCAAACGGTGATTTGCTAAAGTGGGCAACAGATGACAGATGACAGCACGGCGACAATGCGTGTGTCACCTTTTTTTTTTTTTTTTATTTGCTCAATGTATTTCATTTTTGATGCTCAGTCATCAAGACAGCGAAGGTTCATTCATGCATACAGTCTGAAATGTGAGACTCTAAGTGCAAATGTTTTCCTGGTATCCTCTGCACCTGTGAGATGTTTACACCGCATCCCCGTCCATACCAGCTTAACCGTGTCTGCTCCCCTGCTGAAAATGCTTTCGCTTGCAAAAAAAAATAAAACTGGAACACACTGGGAAACACGGACGCAAGACACGGATGAATCACACGCGATACAGATCGGTGTGGATGAATCACGTCTACAAACGTGTGCATGCGAGCTCATGAGCACATATACAGTACACAGGAGAGAAGGAATACTGGTCCCAGTATCCTCTGGTCCAGGGGCATCTTGAAACTGCCTGTTCCAAACAACATTTGCTGTTCCCTCCTCCCTCCTCTCTGCTGATGAGGAGGCTGTCCCAACCAGGGGTTTTTGTTAATGGTGGAAAAAGTTACAAATCCCCCCCTCTACAACTGGCTAAAAAACCTAAAAGTTGCTTCCATAAGCACAATGTTACTTCCAGTACGGCCTGCACAAGCAATTTGCCTCTGGGTGTAACTTGATTAGCAGTGTAAACAGAGACGACTTACAATCTGGTTGCACAGTTTATCTAACAGGAATCAACATGGAAACACGCAGCCTCAAGATCATCCACACCAGGCTGCGAAATAAACTTGGCATTCAAGGGAAAAAAAAAAAAGAAATGTTTGCTTTTAACAGCTGATGCAACAGGAAAGCAAGAGATGAAAACATCCTAATAAGCATGTCTCGTATCATTCTACGTCTCACCGATTTCACAGACATCTAAAGTTAAGCGGTCCTGAAAATACGGGCCCCGCTGTGCCCACTCTTCTGTTCTGATGATAGTTGACTCAATGGATTAATGCCTGTTTGCATAACAGCCTGTCAGTTCCTCGCAGGGGGAATCAGCCGACCAATATGTGTTGAACTTGAACCGCGATTCAAGAAGGCATTCATTATAAATGCACTGTATGTGTGGGTTTTTTTTTTTTTTTCCAGAGCCTATCTTTTAAAGAGATATTTTTACAACCAGCAAATATTTAATGGCAAGGAAAAAAAAACCACCGAAAAACAAACAAACACAAAATAAAACGCAGCAGCGGGATCTATAACGGTGCTGAAAAGTTCAGACGGGCATTTTTGGAGTTGAGCAGAGGCGTCATCTGTACATGTGGCTCT